AGAAATATATTCAGCACTTTTTACCATTCCAAACTTTCCCAAATTTCCTTATTAAATAAATTACTAAATAAAGAAGTAAATCTAAATCATTCCAAACTTTTCCAAATATATTTAGTCTCAAAGTTTCTTAAATTATTTGATAAAACTTTCCTCATTTCATATAACGATAATATTCTTATCAATTCAGAAATGTGCAAAAATAAAGCTGTTAAACCGATAATTAAATCATATACTATACCATTTTTCAATCGAACACATCAATATCTCTTTAAAAAACCGACAATATAGTTTTGTATAATGGTACTACGAAACCAACTTTAATAGGACTTCATTTTTTATTAAAAAATCAACACCGCGAAAAAAATGACTGCCACTAAAGTTGACATCTTCAAGTAGCTGCCTCCATTTATCTTGTTTGCGTTGAAGCAAATGATAAACGATTCGCCTGGATTTCAGTCCACTTCTTTCGTGGACTATCTAAATGCCAATCGTATCAATTTTTCCTTATAGCAGAACGATAAATGTTTGTTTCTTTATCTACCAATAAATGTCAAGTGTTTAACATTGTCGACAGGCGGACGATTAAGTACTTTAAATTCGTGAGAATGAAAAATATATCAAAGTGTATAGTCGTCGTAAGCAAAAATACATCTGCTTTACTTCTACGTATAAAAGAATTTTACAGAAAGGTAAAATGAAACTTGTATCGGTAGAAAATTAGAAGATTTTTACATGCAAAATTTCTTTTACGTAAAAGACGTCTGAAAATATCTTGTAACATTACTACTTGTTCGAAAATTGTCCTGCTATTTGTCATTCTATTTCAAGAATCTTCACAAGACTTGTAAATGTTTCGTTTCAAACAATCTTCAATATTTTACGCTATCACGAGTATTTTTGTCATTTTATCACTGGGTGTGAAATTTAGACTTTCTCTAAAACATTTTCAAAACGAATCTTAAGGTCAATCTACTAACGACTCGATGCAGACTAAAATCGTAATTAAATACCCTAATTCCCTTCGTATTTCGTATTATTGTTATAACTTTTTAATAAAGCTTCAAACAACCTATGCTTACATAACATTTCGTAGAATATACTGACAAACTTTGATCCGAAAGAACTGGATCACCCTGTACATCAATAAATGAAATAGTTATATTAGTTTTATTTTTGCAACACAGCGATTTAGTAAATCAAATTCCCAAAATAGTCTGAGAGACTACACGTCTGTGGTAATTTTTCAAAGACAGATGCCTGCAGTTAAGGGTTAAATTATACAGGGTGGGCTAATAATCTTCTCTGTAATATAGCTATGGCGATACAAGAAAAATTTTATACGTAATTTAAATGGTTTCAAAGGTTGAACAAGATGAAAGAACAATTTTTTTTATAAATGCCATTTGTTTCTGTTTTCTTCAAGATCGCCTACGTTTTTTTCTTTGCATAAATGTAGCAGCCATCGATATGCATAATAATATATTCTTAAAATGACCTTCGACTCCAAAATGATTTATTTATTTTTATTAAAAATTTCAAGTGATTTAAATTACGTCTAAAAATTTTCTCGTACCACCAAGCTACAGGAAATAATTAGATGGCCCAGCCAAGATAGTAGAACACAACGGGTGTGCCAACAGTTATGAACGCTAGTGTGCGTAACTTAATTTTGAAAATAGACAAAGTTAAATAGTTTTTAATTATTCCAACCTGGACAGTAACTGTGATTGGTACACAGCACTCAACCTGTATAACAGCTAGAACATAACGGGTGTCCAAACAGTTATGCACGCTAGTATACACAATTTAATTTTGAAAATAAAAAAAGTTAAATATTTTTCAATGGTATTTTTTAATGGGTGCACGGCACTCAGCCTGTACAATAGCTAGAACACAACGGGTGTCCCAACAGTTACAAACACTAGCGTACATAACCTAATTTTGAAAACAAACAAAGCTAAATACTTTTCAATCATTCCAACCTGAACAGTAAGTGTGATAGGTGTACAGCACTCAGCATGTACAATAGCCAGAACACAACGGGTGTCCCAACAGTTAGAAACACTAGCGTACATAACCTAATTTTGAAAACAAACAAAGCTAAATACTTTTTAATCATTCCAACCTGGACAGTAAGTGTGATAGGTGTACAGCACTCAGCATGTACAATAGCCAGAACACAACGGGTGTCCCAACAGTTACAAACACTAGCGTACATAACTTAATTTTGAAAACAAACAAAGTTAAATACTTTTCAATCATTCCAACCTGGACAGTAAGTGTGATAGGTGTACAGCACTCAGCATGTACAATAGCCAGAACACAACGGGTGTCCCAACAATTAGAAACACTAGCGTACATAACCTAATTTTGAAAACAAACAAAGCTAAATACTTTTTAATTATTCCAACCTGGACAGTAAGTGTGATAGGTGTACAGCACTCAGCATGTACAATAGCCAGAACACAACGGGTGTCCCAACAGTTACAAACACTAGCGTACATAACTTAACTTTGAAGTTAACCAAAGTCGAGTTGGTCTTTCTCTGAGACAAAAAAATCATCACTAAACATACACACGTGTCATATTTTTGAACGATTCCAACCTGGACAGTGAGTGTGATTGGTGCACAGCACTCAGTCTGGCCGTATCCCTCGACGACCAAGCAACCAAGAGCGCATCTCGCGAAGGTGAGCACGTTTCCTGCCAACGGGGCAGAACCAACGACCATCAGTCTCACCCTCCCTCCAGTCGACTCTTTGATCTTTCCAAAAGCCAGCTTGTCCCATATGCTATTGTTCCTGATGATCCCTTTCTTGATCTCCGCCTCTTTCGCTCGCATACCCAGGCTGAACACCATCCTCTTCATACACGAGCTTTGAAGTTCAGCTTGGACCTGTACAACACCCATCGGTGACTATGCCATCTATATTTAACGTAGCTGATCGAGTGGACCAGCTTGGTAGAGCTGCGTTTTCGTAAGGAACACTAGCAGAGCGGAAGATAAACCTCAGCTTGTCCAAGTGATCCACTCGTCAATCGTGATTTCACAGGAACACCACTCAATTACGCGCCGCATCTGGAGTTATCTGCTTGCCAAAACGATCCCCTTTCATTTTATACGAACCACGTTCTGACAGCTTTGAAACCCGAGGAGGACTTCTTTTGCAACGTTAGCGGCCGAAGAGTGATTCTCTGACCGTTGGTTAAAACGCGGCTCTAAGGTTCGATCGTGAGGGAAATTCGATTTTACTGCTCCGTTACTAACCCATTTTCACCTGATTTATTTTCGAAGCTTACTTTAGCTACGATGGAGTGTGAATGATTTCCTTGAGGAAAGGTTGTTTACCGGTGTTGGAGAGTTATGTGGTTATGATATCATACTTGTGAAGAGTTCTTTACGATTGAGTAGTTTCATGATACATAACCATGTTTCACAAATTTTCGTTTCTTTGTTGCAAATTGTCGGATATTCTTGAGGTTATTGGTGACGATGAAAAGGTGTTTTCAATGCAAATCAACGTGTGCTGTTAATACGAATTTTTTAAAATTAATGTAAAATATATATTCAACCATGTTTCACAAATTTTTGTCATTTAGGTATAAAAAGATCATTGTTGCAATTTATCGAATATTGCTGAATAAAAATATATATTTTGGATGCAAATTAACGTGTGATTTTAATACGAATCTTTTTTAATTCAATTTATAACCATTTCTTGCAGAGTGACAAATTGAGACAAATTGTATCTATTGCTAGGAAAAAATGGTAATTATCGAATTGAATAGAGAATTCAATGAAAATATTAAACGTGTGCTACTTATTAGAGTGAATTCTCAGGTACTGCATTCATTTACGGCTCTAAATAAAATCATGCCACCAAGCTATTTTTGCGGATATATTTATGCGTGGCGCATTCACGAACGGAATAAAGTCACGTGTTTTCACTGGGATAAGAAATAGTGATCCTTGTAACAGGCTCTAAAATTTCAACGTTAAATAATAGGCAGCGAAACACGCTTATTAATTATGTTTTACATAAATCCACGTTAATATATTGCTATATTGCTATTTCAGATCTTAAATCTAGCATTAATTTTAGAACAAACCAATTTACCACACCACTTCTATACTTAACGTAGTGCTTCGTTGAATTTTTGCTAAATTCAAGATTTTATTATAAACTTTTTTGTAAGACACCAAAAAATTAGACTAAGTTCAATGTGCTACTAAGTTACAGGTCTTTTCTACTTCCAATAAGCGCAAGAAATGCAAGAAATTTTTATCAACAAGTGACCTAACCTAACTTAACAGTCACCAATAGTAACCTAACCTAACATTAAGGGGGTAGAAGCGTCTAAAAATATAGGAAAGTTTAGGAATTTATTTCGGGGTAATTACTGAATGAAAAGCTTCAATTTTTTTTAAGGATATAAATGTAACTTTCAGCTTTCCTCCTCAATTTTTAAAATATGGAAATGTTACAAAATGGAGGAGCTATTGCGAAACTTCTTCTGCTAGAACTTCCGATTGCTTGACGCCATCTTCGATAAGGATTGGAACGTCAGAAATAAAAAATTCTTTTAATTCATAAATAAAAATGTATCACCTACAATGTAGCTTGCAATTTTTTCGATATGTCAATTATTTAATTTTTTAGAAACGTTTCAATTTGAATTTTTTGGTAAAAAGAAGTTTCTTCTCTTCAAACTGCCACCATTTCTATAATAATAGCAATTTTCGAAAAATCTCACGCTACATTCTAGATAGTACATTTTTATTTATAAATCAACAAGAATTTCTCATTTCATACGTTCCAATCCTTATCAGCGATGGCGACTAGTAAACGATATTCTAGCAGAAGAGGTTTCCCAATAACTCCTCCATTTTGTACCATTTTCACTTTACAAAAATTGAATAAAACAGCTGAAAGTGACATTTATATCCTTCAAAAAAATTGAAACTTTCCATTTAATAGTTACCTCCAAAAAAAAATTCCCAAACTTGACCTATATTCAGACCCCTCAAAATGTCGCACCCCTTTAATTTAACACTACAACACTGCCATTATCAAAAAAATATATATACATATATTTATACGTGTATAATAAATTTACTTTCGTTATCGAATCTAGCCTCGTCTCTCTTTCACAAACTGGACACGCATCACATCATTTACGATGCGTGGAAACAGGGGTAAACGCAAACAAGCGGGACATCTGTATTAACGTCACGAATTTGATGCGTGGATATATTGTGTACACACAGAATGGGTGAATCCCATTCATTCGGGAGATTCAGGGTTACGGCGGAGAGATGGGATTGCCTCCACCTGTTTTGCCGTCATTCTCGATCTACATTTGCCAGTGATGCCTCGTAGAATATTGCATAACACTGACCTTAATAAACCAGACGATTATAGTTGGTGCCGATGCACTATTGCGAAAATATTAATTTTTTTAAACATGCAACCGAGGACATTAATCGATTACCGTTCGAGTGGTGAAAATCTTTGATTTATCAGTTGAATTTGTGCTATAATAGTAATTGAATAAATAGGTTTTTATGTTTCTTGCAAAGTTGCGGACAAATTGGTATCTGAAGAGAATTTTACAATTTGAAGAAGAAAAAAGGAAAGTAATAAATTTCGAGTTTTTAAAAATGTATTAAAGCAAGAAAAAATGGAACATAGTTCTGCTCGTGTTTACTATAGTATTTACTAAGTTTGTTTAAAAGCAAATCAAAAATATTTAACTAGGTTCGATATTAAAACAGCTAACCCGTTCATAGACGTGGAGCATTCGTTCCAGTTTACGTACACACGTAGTGAAACCATTTAGAGCCACACCGAATGTGCCTAAGCAATATATCGCCTATTAATCCGTATATTCCTCGTAAATTGCAACGGTCATAAAGTGCCACAGAAATTTCACGCTCCGTTTACAAACAAATAAAGATGATCCAACGAAACGGTAACGCTATTTTCCACACTGTGCGTGATTCACTATTTTCTAATCCCCCTATAAACAGCTATCAAAAGCTCGAAAAATATCCTTCGAACTCTCAAGTGGCCCACGAACCAAACGCTAACACAAATCACGTCGATTTACATTTTACCACCGACTATCACTACCAGACATTTCATTCACGTTTCACCTTTATCTAATTTAATTCATTCACGATTGATCTGAAAATATGAATGAAAAAAAAAAAAGGCTTATTATTGTGTCTATGAAAACGTTTCCATCGATTGTAAATCGACAAATCTTCACAGTTTGTATTTATACTGAATTCAGTATTAATATCATATGATCAGTATTTCTATGACAAATAATTGCAAATATAATAAAAAATAAGCGCAAATTAAAAAAAAAAATACGATGGGAACGTTGCACAGACTTAATATTTAAAATTTAATTTTTTTAAATGAAACACTAAATACATTTTGTTCCTAATAAAAAATGTATTTAATCAAAATAATTTCCACACGATTCTATACACTTTTCCCAACGACCGTCACACTTTCATTATTCCAATTTTGTGAAATTTCGTTTCATTATTCCATTATTCCAAATTTGTGAAAATTCATTCCTTTTACAGTGTCTTCATTTCGGAATAATTTATTTATAAAGAATTTATTCAGGCAGCTGTTGAGTAAAAAAAATTTCACATTCTTTGCCGTGGATCATTTTTAATAATTTACCTTAAAACGTTATCACCGACTTTTGGCTCATTTTCCAATGAAAAGTCACCAAACGTTCAAGTATCCCAACATTCACATAACCTTCATCCACTGTTAAACTCACATTTCCACCACTTTTTACCACACTTTCTCCAAGTTCGAACTAATAAAGAAAGAAATCATGCAAATATCTCGATTATTCATCAAACGCCAAACAATAACGTCCAAAAAAATTATATCACAAATTACTGCAGTGCATAAAGTACCACAGCCAATTCCTTCTAAAAATGTACCATCGAACAAAATTGAACACATACGTACATTATCGACCCACCTAATTTCAGCTGCTGAAACAACGACATTAACCTAATAAAAGACATTCCCTGTGCAAGAAGCACATCTGGACAATTTCGTTAATGCATCTGTCCATCAAACTCGAATGTAGCTGACGCGAGACTTCGCGAATTCGTCAAATTATTTTTGGCCACTGGTGCAAAAGAGAAGTGGAAATTCGCTCGCCGATATATTCCCCGGAATAAATTACTTAACGCGCGTCGTCCTTGCACTTTGACGCTTCGTTACGAAGCGCAAAAATATCATTCTACTCGTAGATATCTCTCTCCACTCGCGAAAGAGACGAAAGAGGCGTGCAGGTTCTACACAATTCACTTCCGCGGAACCGAAAACTTCCTACGGGTTTATCTGACGAGCCGCCGCGGGTTGTGTCCTTGCATCCCGATGAGCATACTCGAAAATATCTCTGCCGCCTTCCGATTCTCCGGTAACTTCGATCGCCAAGAATATCACCTGAGCACTCGCCACCGCCTCCGAAATGGTAAACACGGAATTTTCTATACAAGTCTGCGAAAAGTATTTTCTTTAAATAAGCATTTTCGTAACGAATATTTGTGTTTCTAATAACACCTGGCATTGAAAGTGTCGTGGCCATGTGTACGCGTTTGTATCACTCGGGAAGTGAAGTATCGGGCGAAGCAAGTTTTCCAACGGACAGCGATTGAATAGAGATGAATGAAATTAAATGCTTCAGACAACAGGTAGATATTGTATTTTTTTTTCTTTCGTTCGTTGTAATGGATGAAGAATTGGGAAAAGGCGCGTATACTTGTGAAGAGTTTGAAAAATTTGTGTACAGAATTTGAAGTTAAATGTTATTGAACTTATAAAATTTCAGAAATTTTTATGCAAAATTAAAAATTTAAAATATTAGAAACTTGTATACAAAATTGAAAATTAAAAGCTTTGAAATTTATAAAATTTGCATACAAAACTAGAAATTTACAGTTTTTAAATTTATAAAATTTAAGAAATTACTTTCAGACCAATCTTGTGTATTTTGTCGTGTGGAAATCAATTTCTTAAACATAATTATTTTTATAGCATTAATTAACGATATATTATCATTATCATTCTAGCAAAAAAAGAAAAAAAGAACGTAAGATACAAGTACTTAGGGAGATGAAGATGAGTATTCTTGTGTCTCAGTAATCAAGTCTAATTAAAGCTGTTTAATAAGTCCTACTTAATCCAAAAATTAGATTTTTCATTTTATCACAATTTTCGTACAATTTGTATAATACAATTGACAAATTTCGTCGAGAATAATAGTAATGTTTGACCGTCTGCACTAATATCATAATGTAAACGAATTTCCTAAATCTACATTAACAAGCATTTTATTAAATCATTTACAAATTTATTGAATTATCTTTCAAATGATCAAATAACAAAACAGTCGAAATACATATGCACACTAAAATAAAAATAAAATACAGAGTACATGTAATACGGATTTCTTTTCGTCACATTTCCAAATATAATACACTATCAAAAACAGCAACACACAACTAAGCACCTATACTTAAGTGCCTACTTAGTTTCGAATCTTTGAACTCACTCTTCTCTCAAATTAGCAGTTTACAAACAAACGAACCAACCTAACCACAAGCCACAAGCTTCAAACGACACACATTCGGACGCGTTCAAAACGAACAGATTCAATATTTGGAATGCCTAGCTAATTTTGTACGTATCGTTATGTAACAATGGAGTCGTATGCACTCTCGTTCATAAGCATTAGGAGACTCATTGAACCTAAGTAGTCGTCACAAAATTACCGAGATCCTGAAAAAAATGATCCACTTTGAAATTTCTAACAGACGATGAAACTTCTAAATACATATCTATTTCTATTTAAGGTGTCGACATAAAAATAGGATCCTAATAGTGTCGTTGATTACGTCGCACGAAATTGAGTTTGGTATAGGTCGTTTAACTTCTCTCTGCAACCATTTTCATATAGTATGAAAAAAATGATAGCTACCAATTGCAAATTTAGAAAATCTATTCAAGCCATCGTATTGTACACAGAAAATAATAAAACTTTGTCCTCTTCTATTTCTCTCAAAAATCTACCATTTACGAGAAAAACGATGAAAACTAACAGTACGAACACTGATACATAATACTAACTTCAAATCATATAATACTTTCTGTACAAACACCGTAAGTGCCCTAATACTTACGAACAGCAGTGTAAATACTTCTCATCAAATAGTAAAGCGTACCAATTAACCCTCGAACAGCGAATGGCGCAATAATCACACGCACCACGAATGCCGGGTCAAATCTGACCCAATACCAAATCCCTTTCCATACCCAAACTGAACTACATTTTTTAAAATTCCACTAGACATCACATTGTTTCAAATCATGCAAATACATTACGATTAAAATAACAAACATAAGGAGGAGAGAGTCCTGACTCAGGGAGAGACATCTAAAAGCCGGGTCAAAGATGACCCATTGCTCAGGGGGCCACAAGAAAATTTTCATTATTCTAAGCATAATATTGAAGGGTTGTAGGAAACCGATAGAGGGTATATACGCGGAAAACGAAAGGTGAGGGCGTTTCGTCCTGGGCCTCCTAGTGGACTCGTCAGTAAGGCTTTCTCTAGGAGGCCCGTGACTTAACCCTTATGTCAATAACCAGAATTGTCGTCTACTTTATCGTCCAATTTTAGTAGTTTTCTGGTAACAAAATTCTGAACTTAAGGCAAACACGGATAGGAAATATGCCAAATAACAAGGCCGGATATTTAAATCTTTTACCTGGAAGATAAAATATTTTAAGTGAGAATTATGCAAAAGGGTAACAAGGGTTAAACGCGGGAGGGACTGGAAGGACTCGGGTCAGAAGTTGTATATGTATATACAAATAGGAGCCTTTATGAGGACTAGCGAGAACTTGTAGCTAGTCCGTCCCTCTGGTGGCAGAGCGTAGGAAGGTCGCTACAATATTATTATTTCTTTTTTAAATTCAAAATAATGTCTACATAATCAGCTATGACGTTCGAAATTTTTAGTTGACGATATTCATTTTACTTTAATTATTCGAAACATTTGAGGGTCCTCTGGTCACCGATGACCAGAAACAATCTCCGGTCACAGGTGACCAACGTGGCAGTGAACATGTTAAAACAAACTGCGAACTAGATTTGTGAATGACAAAATCCTCGTAAAAACTTGCTGATCACCCAAACACGGATGACATAGCAGAGATGCGAAATTGTAAATAGTAGGATATATTCACGGATATACGTACGAGTGCCAGGTGGTCGACGACGAAGAAGTTGGAACAGAAAGGAGGCAGAAGCTAATTGGGAAACTGGTGGGTTTCGTAAGTGGCACCACTCACCTTGTCGTACATTCGATTCAACAGCCTCGGTACTGCTGGCATCACGGTAGGCCTCAAGGCTTTCATATCCTCGGGCAACCTTTTGATGTCACCGCTGTAAAAGCCCACAGACCCGCCCACCATGTACATGCCGTTCTCGCAGCAACGTTCCAACATGTGTGCCAGAGGCAAGAAGCTGATCATCGTATCCTTGTACGAGGGTCTGTGCTCGCCTAACTGCATCAGAACAGCGCATATCCCGGCCATCACGTTCTGATGCGTCAACATCACGCCTTTCGGGTTCCCCGTGGTACCGGATGTGTAGCATATCGTGCACAGGTCGGTCACCTTAGGCGGATACTCCGGTTGGTTCTTCTGAGCGCCTAACCGTTCGACGTCCTCGAACCTCAGCAACTCAACGCCACGGTTCTTCGCCCTCTGAATCGTCGTTTGCTTTATCTCTTTTATCACCACCATTTTCCTCAGGCACCTGGTGCGACAGATAGATTGGTCGAAGTTAGATCGAACTGGGACTATAAGTGGAGAATGATAATTTTCTTATTTTAGAAAATTGGAATGGAAAGAGGATTAGAAAAGTAAATATTTGTGCTACCAAAATGGCAGAAATGTACTCTCTTGTGTTTTATTAGCATTAAAGATAATAGTAATTGAATAAATTACATGTCACATAATAGTTTCAGTATTTTATATTTTTATAGAGATTCTAGAAAATTAGAATAAAAAGTGAAACGTGTCATGTGAAATCTTATTATGTGAAGAGAAATGCAAGGTAGACATTTGTGCTACCAAAATGGCAGAAATGTATTCTCTTGTGTTCTATTACCATTCAAAATAATAGTAATTGAATAAATTACGTACCACGTAATAGTTTGGATATTTATTTATTTTCATAGGAATTTTAGAAAATTAGAATAAAAAGAGAAACCGTGTCATGTGAAATCTTGTTATGTGAGGAGAAATGCAAGGTAGACATTTGTGCTACCAAAATGGCGGACACGTATTGTTTCGTGTTTTATTACTATAGAGAGCATCGTTTGCATTAAAAATAACAGTAATTGAATAAATTTTTATATATCACATAATGTTTGGATATCTATTTAATTTTTATTCCATTATCTAACTATATTCAAGCTACATCCTGCTGTTGATTCTTTTATAATATCACATTAAAATCGTAAGAGAGGTGATCTGCATTACCGTTTAAAGTTTATGAGTTAGTTGAATTAACATATTTGATTCTCTGATTATAAAAGATATTTTAATCCTAATGTCACTATAGGATAGCTTTTATTTATAATGAAACTTTTGTTCATAAGAATTTTATGAATTTTTACGCGTTAATATTCCCAAAAACTGTGCAATCATTTCTAAAAAGTACATTTATTCTATAAAATGTGATCTTTTGAATTATTTCACATA